AAAAAACTCAATAAACGTGACACAGAAAATTCGGCAATGAAGAAGATGAAAAGCTAACACATTCTGTTTAGAGTTGTGCGAAATACATATATAACGTGTGAAAATTTCCCGCCGGCGAGGCAGCGCGTTTGGTTGAAACTTAAACAGCTGAAACAGCGGCATTCGACGTGGTTGCTGGCGTCGTGCAGGAGGCATTGTTAAGAAGACAGACTTCTAGCTTTTCCAGTAATTTAACTTCCAAACTTCAGCCACGAGAAAGTTCTCCCGTTGCGGAATCCTCGGAAAGCAATGATAACTTTTCCTCCTCGGCCATCCAGCACGGAAGTTTGCGGTTAAAGAATATATAGAACTTTTTCGAACTGCAATCGACTGCGAAATGTGATCAGGACGCATTGTTTTAGTCATAAAAATGCTTTCGATGTTTCGCCCCGCAGCGGACGAGTCGTCCTTCTTTTTTTTTTTTTCTTTTTCTCTTTTTATCTGCATGTTATAAAATGAGGAAATTTAAATGCATATCCTGTCACGCACGGGACTGTGCAGAAAGTTTTAAGAATTTATATTTAAACCGTAGTGGAAAAGTTGGAATCGAGTTTGGTGGAAATTATAAGTGTTCTGTTTCATTTCGAGGACGTGCACTTGTGCGTGCTTAATTAGTTTTAAGCTGCGACGTAACTATACTGAAGACAAAAGCAGAGTAAGTGCATTTGCTCTGAAATTGAAATAAAAGGACAAAGTTTCCTAGTTGCGCTCTTGAAAATCATATTTTATATATAAAGTTGTATTATCTCGTGTAGAATTACGATTGACAAACCGAGCAATTTTTTCCTTCGTCCTAAAGCATTCGAAAATGTGTCCTTTCTTTAGTTTATAGTAGCAAAATTACGAATACTAGATGCAAATTTTTTTTGCTACAAGACGAGTAGTACACTAAAATAAATTCAGTTAGATACGACTCGAAGTTAGTAGGGAGGTTTCTGAAAATTAGTACATCCTAGTAGATCCTAGATTGCTGAGCAGAGAAGAGAAATTCTGAATCTGAAGTCTTGGAAATGTCGAGGATTGACGATAAACTACAGACTCGTGGAGCTTCAAACTCCAGAAATCCAAGGCCTAACCTCAAACTTCAGATCCCAGATCCATCAAAGATTCAAAACCCGATTCCACGATTCCTTGTACTGTACTTTCCCTCTACCAAGAATTTAAAATTCGCTCGCGCTTCTTGCCACCTGCTCTTTTACATTCAGCGATCCCAGCATTTATTCAAACGAAACTGCTCGTGGAAGCAACATCACCCACGAAAACATTCAATGCTGTCCCCTTCTGCTCGACCGCGTTCCAAACTTCCCATCAAAAGCAACCAAAGGAGGCAAGCCACAATTTTAGCATTTAAAACCAACCAGCTAAGCCAAGGACAGCAATGTGAAAACACCTCGTCGATTGCATGCTCGTCAGGACAACAGAGACGACGGAAACATGGCCGATGAAACAATTCCTGCTGCCGCTCACCATTTTCCAAGCGACCCTTTCACCTTCTCCTCCCTCGTCCTTCAACCCCCTCCTTGTTTCCGGGGATTTAAAGAGAGATACAAAGGACTCGAGCAAGATGACGAGGGAATTATTCAGCAGGGTTCTGTATTTTGCTGGGCAGCGCGCAATAGCCTATAACTGCCTACCGTAGATAACGACTGAACTTCACCCTTCCACCCTTCAACCGTGGACAGGGGTAGGTAATTCGCGAAGATCGTTCTCTGCAGCGCAGAGCAGAAGCCCAGAGCGGGTTGGAAACTGGGGCTGTGCCACCCCCGACGTAATAACACGACGATGCGTCGCCGAGGGACTGAAACATGGCTGAAGCGTGCAGAATCCACGGATCTCGATTAATCCTCGCCGCGATTGTTTCCTTTCCCCCGTCTTTCCTTTTTTTTTTTTTTTTGCTTTTTCGTCACAGAGCCGCTCGTTTCAACGAGCTGCGTTCCCTTCCCTCCCTTTGAGCGTGACTCTGGTTCGATTGGGTTCGAGAGTCTTCAGATTAGACTGTTTTGTAGTGTGTTAATATAATAAAACTAGAGATTTGAACGTTCTATTCGTCTGAAGTCAAATATTTTTTTTTATAGAAGTAACTTTTCTACCCTCAGATTTCTCTCTCTACTATAGACATGTGTCCTAAATCATTCAACGACGCGAAGGTTTGTCTCTTTTTTATACTTCTGTACTACAAAGAATCTATTTAACAACGTGATTAAACAAACAGCGGATACAAGTTAACAACTACGCGATCCAGTCTCATCATTCACCACGACTCGAACTCTGTCTTCCCAATTCAATCAGATACGCAAAGTAGAGTATTTACTAGAATTAGAAATTCTATTTCTAGCTCCCGTTTCTTTGATACTACATGCTCGTGAAAATTTGAAAATCCACAATTCGCGAGATAATTGAAAAAGCTTGATCGTGAACATTGGAACGCGGGAGTGCGTTGTGCGAAAACGATCGATCTTCCCGGTTTCGATAGTCCGTAGCAATGTCAAGAATCCTCCGGATAACTCGGTAATCGGCGAACGTCGAGTATTGCACC